GTATCTAGCTGCACTTAGGTCATTGAAATTATAGTACAACAAATGGGCTGGGCACCATATTTCTTGGCTATCCATGTGTAGGTATGTTTGCAGTAAGGAGGGGGTCAGGAGGTTGAATTTGTTAAAGGAGCATGTTATGGATAAGATGGCTGGAGGCTTATTCCATCTGATGTGAGGATGGTGCCAAAAGAGGTATCATTCAGTCCTATTTGCTCCATCTCCTTCATAACAATGGTCTGTTGAGTGGCATTTCCTTAATTTCTCCATGCTTCAACTGCTTGGCATTCATTCACAGAATCTCTCTACCACAAACTACAGTGTTTATAAAAACACAAATGGATCCAAGAAGGCATGAGCAGGTAAACTAGACCATGGGCATGTCTACTCAGGTCCAAGCCCTGAGATCTGGCAGCCGTAATCTTCACAATCTACCACCCAGGGCACAGGAGGCTAACCATGGCCTTTGGTGGAGCTGCCATCCTGGCTAAAACCTCCAGGCTCATTTCAGACCCTGGCTTTTGGAATGCCAAAGAGACAGCAAGAATCAGCACCTCTATACGGATCTGCCCTGTCTCTCTCTGTGCCAAAGTCAGCAGGCGAGTTCCAGCCAAAAGCCAAGGAAGTATCTACTTGAGCTTTATTTTCATTTCCTGAAATATAGCTCTCGGCAAAGCCTGGGAATCGACTTGCAGGCTTGGAAGGTGGCGGGAGGGCAATGCTCCCACCAGCTCCTTGCAGCCAAAGAACACTGGGAAGTTGGCCCCTGGCCACAACCTTCCCACTGGGTTGAAGCTATCAACAGCCATCTGTCCTGAGGGGAAAGGTGACTTTTGGAAGAGACTCTTTGCTTTGCCTCTTCTGTCCTCTCCACTCACTGCTCCTGGGAAGAATCTGGGAACCTGGCCCACCCCACGGGAGGCAGAAAAGACATCCTCTTCAATGCTTTGGAAGGAGAGGAGCCAGGAGCAACAGAGAGAGATATATGTGATGAGACTGAAAACAGCGGGACTTTAAGTCTGCAAGCTGCTTTGGCAGCATCATTGGGTAATGGATCACCCTGGGCCAAAATTAGGTTAACACATTGCCATTCCTCCATCTCTTTCTCTCCTTTCCCGCGCTGCAGGGAATTTGTGCTTGTTAAGCCCAACATCTTTGAACAAGAGAACATTGAAGACCAAGGGCACTTTTGCAACAGTCTGTCATATGCACCCAGAAGTACTCACATGCATGTGCACATCTGGATTGTGAACAATCTAGGATTGTGATGTGGTTTCATACCATTTCTCCTCAACCTGACATAGCCTTGCCAATGGTGAGGCATAGGGTTGCCATGTCTCAGGGCCTGTGCCTGAGTTTCTAGTTTTCATGGAAACTGGGAGGGAGATAAAGATAAAAATTCTCCAGTTTTGGGGGGCTCAGCTCTGGGCAAGAGGAAAGGGCTGTGAGCAAATCTCCAGATCAGCTAATAGAGCAGCACACTGGTTACAATTTGCAAGAGTTCATTGATTTGTTGCTGAAACCTGCAAAGAGTCTCTGGGGGTCTGTGTATTTATTTAGACCCTCATCACATGAGAAAATAAAGCCAGAATGGAGTGGAAGAGCAGTTAATTTTCCTCATGCCTCTCCACATGCTGTTGTAGCACTTCTGCTCTCTTCCTGAGGGAGATGGTCATAAAAGCATGTCTTTTGTCACACTGGAAAAATCCATTTGCAACGTGTGTTATGGTTTTAAATTGTTTAAACTGGTTTTTAGGTTGCCTCACCTATGGCTCAATATTCAATATGCTGATTGTTTTCAATTGTTTTAAACTGTTCAAATTCATTTTATTGCACGCTGCTCTGAGACATAACCAGTTCAATAAATCAATAAATCAATGGTGGTGATCATGTTTCGACCTAAGGCAGGAACAAAATATCCCACCCCCATTGCATGACTCCATTTATAGCAGGGTTGGACAGATGCAGAGCAGCCCACAAGTCAATAGACTGGTGAATTCACTGCAGGTTTTAATTCAGATTCTATTTTCAGGATAGGATTCAGCACCTTGGATGAAAACACTGAATGGATGAAAACATTGAATGGATTGGGTCTACCATCCTGCTGATATGGAAACTACCTAACAGCATGGCTGAAGAGGATCTGTTTTGTTGTTATCAGTTTTTAATCTGACTTTGACTTAGGGCAATTCTATGAATGAGGCACCTCCAAGTTACCTTGTTACCAACAACCCCTACAGAGGTCTTACAAACAGATGTCCCCACCACACTTTTTACTCCCAGGATCTGTACCCAGACATTTCCTGAAACCCAAAAGTGGGCCAGAAGTTTTTTTAAAAAAGTGCTATTTTGGACTATTTTGAGGTGCTAACACTTAAACACTATTTTGGGGTTATAACACTTAAATGTAGACTCATGACCTCCAGATGCTGACATATCAGCAGTGTGGTGAATCTGCTCTAGGTTTAGTCTGAACTAGAGATGGAAAGAATATTCACAATTTTTTGTTTCCAGGTTGGAAAATGGGACAAATACTAGACTATCAAGAATTTTGCACAGTTTCTTCTGATACTCAGCATCCAAGTGCTGCATAGTATTCTACAGAGGAAAAAAATCCACATTTTTCTGCTCTGAAGACCATTTTCTTTGCATAAGAAAACATGTGCTTTTTCTCCACAGCCTAATTCCTCCACAACACATTAGGATGTTTGAATGAGGAGAGAATATTGAAGAGGAATATTAGTTTTCTCCTGCAGTGAGGAGAAAACTACTTTAACTATTCATCCTATTCATATCATAGTCAATGATTTATATCCCTAGTCTGAACTTTAAAGAAATTAGCCAAGATATTGAACCAAGCTGCACATTTTTTGGACAAGAAAATAAATAATAGACCATCAAGAATTTGGCATAATTTCTCCTGGTACTCAAACGTCTAAGTACTGCACAATATAAGATGTTTATATCTGAAAGCTATATATGAAGAAAAATGCATATGAAAATGTGTCAGTTGGGGATGCATGTGTACCAAAATATATACTGTGCACAGAAAAATACATACATATTCCTGGATGTGAAGTAAGAAAAAGCAAGTATAGAACATGGACAGGGCATACTTTAAGGTGGAAACTGGAGAATCTTAGCAAGCTTGATGTTTAAAGGTGCATATTCCCTTTCCTAGGCACAATTCCCCTTAATTTGAAGATGTTAAAAATTGGGGTATCAGATGCACTTGGAAGGCATGCATTAAATCTTAATGAAATCCAGCCACTGCTCAGCAAACAGCAGCAGCCAGAGAGAGAAGGGGCAAAATAGCCCCATTCTACAAGGCAAGTCTCTGTAATAATAATAATTGCAGTGATAAATTACAGTAATGAACTCCTCTGGGCATTAGATAAAAACAAGCCAGATTGATACTGAAGCCGTGGGAGGGACATGCTCCTTAATTAAAAATCTATCCGGGGCATTTAGAAACAGGGAGTGGGAGCAAAGGGCCAGACGAAGCAAAATGCCTTCCTTGAAGGACATTGAACCAATATCGAACCATGCTTCAAAGGGGGATTTTCCCAGCCATTTTGTCCTACAAAATCCTAGGGGAAAACAAAAACAAAAACCTGGGCTGAATATTTCAACCATCTCTAATAGTCTTTCCTTTGATTTTGCCTGTAATTGTTGTCCCTGCTTTTCTGATGCTTAGCATACTGATATATCTCTTTCTCATTTGTGAGGGCCGTGATTTGGTTACAGCTGCATGGAAACTCACCACTTTGCTATTAGGGGGAGTCATGTTGATTTAATTTGGGGTAAGTATCCCTTCTGGCACCAATGTCGGAAGCCATTTTCAACTTGTTGTAGTTGACGTCCTTCTTATTAGAAGCAAAATAAGCTCTGAAGCATGAAATGAGAAATGGGCAAAGGGAATAGAGAAACAGACCACTAGGTGGGCTTGAGCTTTGGGTTCCCTCTTGACCTTTCTGAGCAACCACTTATTTGATATGTGGATTGTTACCTTCAGGTCTATTTCCTCATTCTTTTCAGAAGCCGCTCAGGACTTTTTCACACTAGGCTTGCAATGCACCACAATTATTTTATTCTAGCAAATGCAAAATTTGGGTTTGGGGACAATTATTATCACACAGCTCTTCAGAAGCGCAATGATGCAATGGCCTCTGTCTCCTGCATGCTGGCTTCCATAGCCTTGCCTCCCTGTCCTAAACCCTTCCCAGCATGCTTTTGGGTCTATATTTATGTATTTATTAAGTGCAATTGTGTGGCAATTCATTAGGTAAAAAAATAAAGAAAGAAAAGGAAAAAAATTGAAAAAAAGGAAAATAGCCTGCTTGGGAATAGCTAGAAGAGGACAAGGGGAGAGGAGTAGACTCTCATCCATTTGCACTATTGGAACTGCTTCAGGAGGAACTCATTACACATGAATCCAAGTGGAAAAGCAAGAGCGATAAGTAGACATTGATGGGTTTTGCCCGTCAATGAGAAAGAGCACTCCAGCAATGGATGGACAACAGACCAACTACTGGATGGGAACAGCATCCTATGATAAGGTACATCCACAGATACTGCAACCCTGCTCTAATTCCACTTTTCAAGCCTGATGGGAGTCCCTCCTTTCTTTCCTTGGGACACCTCTGATGGCATCACCCAGTGTGGGCCATATCCCCTGCACCTCCTGGTGAAACCATACCATTGCCCTGTTTCCCATCCAACCCCAGATTCCTGTGTGAAGATCAGAAGGACACTTTTGGATTCATGAAAAGCTGTTGAGAGCCAGTGTGTTGTAGCTCAAGTGTAAAACTTTGTCCTGTGCAAATAAAATAAAATAATGTTCCAAATGCTACACTGCACATGGATCGCTGTTCCTTGATGTGACTCTCCAACTTGCTCCCCAGTGAAAATGGAGTTTTCTTGGCAAGAAATGTGGTTTTGCCTTTGCTGTCTTCTGAGACTGAGAAAGTAGGATTTTCCCAAGGTCACCCAGTAGATTTCCATGGCCGAGTAGGGATTTGAACCCTGGTCTCCTGAAATCCTAGTCCATGGCTCAAACCACTACAACACACTGGCTCTCCTACATTAGACTTAACAAGATCTTAATTCTTCAATTAAGAATGCCGCATACTAGATGGATAGATTTAGTTAAGGAGGCCATGGGCCTGAGCTTGATGATACTTGGAGACCTCTCATTCATGGGGGTCATCATGAGTCAACCTAAAGGCAGTTAACAACAATTCAACTGTTAGCATCTAAATGGGACTCATATCCCTCCCAAATCCCAGTATTTGCTACCAATTGGTGTGTGTCTGTGTCTGTGTGTAATGGCTACGTTCCACAAGGGGATCATTAAACATCTCATAAGCCCGGACATGTTTCTTTTTCTTGCAGGCCTTGTTGAATGGCAGGAAGCCCATGTCAGATTGAGGCAAGAATTAAGTGGCAATGCAAGAGCCAGCTCCTCTGCTATTACAAACTGGAGCAAAGGAAGAGGGAAGGGGTAAGAGGTGGTGAATTGGGGTGGGCAATGTGGGTGACAGCCAAAGATTGGGAACTTCTGAAGAAGAACCATTGTCTGATTTCATGATATTAAAGATGCTGAAATCTTCTTCCAGGTATGCATGGAGGGGAAGAGCACCGAAGCGTCTTCCAAAACTGTAGGAAAATTTAATCCAGTCCTTGTTCTCTCTCTGGGATGAGGTCCAAGGTGCTTTTTCTCCATTTCATTTCCTTCATGAATAGTATCAGTGATTTCAGCAGCAACATTTGTCCTTGGAGTGCATCCCCTGAAGGGACCTGGGGTGGGGGGTGTCATGTCACCCCGCCTCTGTTACTGGAACAGAATAATCACTTTTCTTTTGAAAAAAAAATATGACTTTTTCTTTATCCTCTTTCCTGAAATGGAGGCCTCCCAAAGTTCATTTACTTCAGTCAGCCAAGAGCTACGACACACCTGCCCTTTGCTTCATTGTATAGCGAGAGCTCAGTCTCAAGATGCTGACTCACAAAATGAGATGGCAGGAACCCAACCTGGCTCAGTAATGAATAGAGAGAAGGTGAAATTTTGTAGAATACTTCCCCCCCTCCTTTCTTTTCCCCCCTCCCTCAGGGAGATTTATCTTTTTGCTTCTCACTCCTCTAAGGAAAAAGGCCTTTTTGCAGAATTTTCTCCCAGTGTAATCTCCACCGTTGTTTTGTTTCTATCTGTGGAGGTAGCCTGAAATTTTCGTAGGCATGAGGCATTGCAGAGAATATAAAATGGTGGCAGTCCATCCTATACAGTTAGTGGGTTGCATAAAATCCTTATGAATTTGCCAGTAGCAATGAACATATCTGTCTTCTGAAAATGGCAAAGCAAAAGCAAACAACAAAAACACACAACCAATTTTAAAAAACAACAAGCGCCCCAGCCAATCGGTGTAAATAAAATGGTAAACTCTGCATAAACCTTACCACTGTTGTATGTATACCCTCCAACATCTCACAGAGGAAAATCAGAACACATGTACCCACCCAGTCCCTCCTTTCCTCTTCATTCTCCACTTTTTGTTGTTGATGTGTGCCCTCAAGTCATTTCCGATGTATGGTGACCCCCTAAGGCAAACCTATCATGGGATTTTCTTGGCAAGATTTGTTCAGAGGTGGTTTGCTATTTCCTTCCCCTGAGGCTGAGAGCATGTGACTTACCCAAGGTCATCCAGTGGCTTTTATGGCCGAGTGGGGAATCGAACCTTGGTCTCCAGTCATAGTCCAATACTCAAACCACTATACCATGCTTAACTTTGCTTACGTGGAAGGTTTTTTTTTTAGCAGCATTGGCAATGGGATAATAATGGTAAAAGGGGAAGACACACAGACTTTCAATGTTGGATTGCAGCAGTTGGTCTGTGATAATGCAACAAACAAAGGTTGAGCTGTGAAAGAGTGGTATTCTATTCTAGTCAATGCTACCATGGCCCTCTGTGGCTATCTGCAACAGGTAAGGTAAACAGCAGCTGTCTCCAAAATCCTGTACTGTGTACATGTGAACAGCAAACCACAGAGAAAAAGGAGGGCAGATAAGCCTGCCTGATCCACCAGCTCCTCCCAACATCTTTTGGCTACCAAAATGAAAACCACAAAAAAAACATGGAGGCTGGAGAAAGAAAAAGTTATCCCCGGCTGAAATTGGGAAGAGGCCTTCAAGTGCTTATGAGAGCTAGCATGGACTGGTGGCTTGAGCTTTGGACTATGACTCTGGGGACCAAGGTTCAAATCCCTGATCCAGCATGGAAGCCCATTGGGTAACCTTGAGCAAGTCACACTCTCTCAGACTGGGAGGGAGGTGAAGGCAAACTTTTTTTCTGAGCTAATCTTTCCAAGAAAATTCCATGATAGAATCTCTGTAAGTTGGAAATGACTTGAAGGCACACAACAACACTGAATTCAAGTGTCCTTTGGAAGGGTAAAAATGTTTTGGTTTACTTATGCAAGGCTTACCTGATCTAGTTGTTCTATGTCACATGTGCATGTTGTTAGTTTTACATAAAAAGATTGGTGAAGACTATTCTATTGCTCTTCTGTTTCGTACTATAGGAGCTGACCCTTATTTTTGCCATCAACTTCACTAACTGAGATATACCTGTATAGTAGGCGGACACAATCTGGTCCTTTTTCCATTATGGGAGTAGCTCTTCCTTTGGAATTCAACTAGTACTACTAGTTGAGAAGTTGGATTTTGATAAGAAGTCAAGTTCTAAATGCAGGAGAAGACAGAATAGATAGATTTCTCTGCATCTAGCAATCCATATCTCCACCAAAAATAAAAAGTCAAATGCGTTCCCATCTAGCATAACAACATCCACTGGGTGGCATGCTTTCCTTAGAAAACAATTTTGCAACAGAGGCAGTATATCAAGGTCACATATAAGAAATGTGTGTGATAACATTCCTTGATGAATATACCATTATTTGTATTAATCACTGTTAACTTTCTTTGAGAGGAGAAGGCACTTGTAAAGCAAACTTCTTTACATAGATCTTTGTGTACATATGTTTTCCTGCTCAATTTGTAGGCAGAAGCCCATTCAGGTGTTGCCGTTTGCTACCAAGTTGATTTTGACTTGTGACTCTATGAATGAGACCTCCAAAACATCCTACACCAACAATATTACTGCTAGGATTCCAGCTAGGGCCCACTGTTCAGATGCTAATACCTGAAGCTTATCTTCAACATCCATGCCCTTCCTTCTTAAACCAGATTTGGACAAGGCAACTCTTTAAATACATCAGGATGGGGAGTGTGTGTCCCCTCCAAATATTGTTGAACTACAAGTCCCATCAGGCCTAGCCAACATAGGAAACAATGAGGATGTTGGTAGCTGCAATTCTACTATATCTAGAGAGCTACAATGTCCTTCAATGGCTATGATGACAGTGGTGAGAGGTTTTATTGCCTGAGTCTCAGAAAGTGCCTTGGTTTCTGCTTGTCAGAATTTAAGAGTGGTCCCTGGGACTGACATGCCTCTGAAATGACCTTGGGTTTATTTATTTTTTCCCCACCGCTGCAAAAATCATAATAAAAAAATCATTTCTCTTGGCTGCCTTTGTCTGAATGGATGGCTTTAAATATTGCATTGTTTTAAATAAATAAGAAGGCTTGAGGTGGCTTTTGTATTTCAATGTGCCAAGGTAATAAAGTGCAAAGGAGACCCTTTTCTCCATAGAACAAATACACAGCTGTTATGTTGAGCTGAAGTTGGAAATCCTTGAGCCTCAAAGGCACAGTTCTCCTTCTGAACTCAACTTGCAATGTAGCATCTAGGCAGGGACTCAGAACAAGGGGATGATGATGATGATGATG